CGTGGGGAGGTAGTTAGAGAGAGAGAGTGGTGTGCAAGGCTGGAGACGGGCGGATGTGGGACCAGCCTCAGGATCTCGCGCAGGGGGTGCCATGGAGGGCCCTGGGCAGGGACCTAGAGCTGCAGGTTGTTAAGCTTTGCCCTTGGCAGCCCCACAGGGTAGGCCCGCATTTCAGACCTGAGGGGACACCAGCAGTGTGTGGCCCTGGGCCAGAGGTCAGGCCCCAGGTCTGCCCCAGGCAGATGCAGCCCACGTCTGGCCTTTATATGGGAGCCAGCATCTGTGTTGTTCGCCTGTTTGCAGCATTTTTTAAAAATCTGCCTTTCCAGGTTCTCTTGGATAATTAGATGACATGCCAACAGCTCGGTGGGTATTCTCGCCTGGACACACACAGCCAGAGAAGCACAGGTCCCACGGTCACAGGCACGGGTCGTCCCATTGCATCGATGCTGGAGGGACTCAGCTCAACATGGCCCCTGGCTGTCTTGGGCTTGTCCCCCTGGAGGCATCCCAGGTCCTGTGTTAGGGAAGCCAAGTCCTTGACACAACCAGGGCTCTTATCTGATGCCTGAAAGCTCTCCTATGAGTGTTGGTGTTCCTTAGAAAAGCCCAGGTACCTTCTTTTTTTTTTAAGATTTATTTATTTTATTTGAAAAGCAGACTTATAGAGAGACGAGGAGAGGGGGCGAGCAAGCGAGCTTCTATCTGCTGGTTTACGCCCCAGATAGCAGCAATGACTGGGGTTGGGCCAGACTGAAGGCAGGAGCCAGGAGTTTCTTCCAGGTCTCCCATGTGGGTGCAGAGGCCCAAGGACTTTGGGCCATCTTCTGCTGCTTTCCCAGGCCATAGCAGAGAGCTGTACCAGAAGTGGAGCCCAGCACCCGCATGGGATGCTGGAGTCACAGGTGGCGACTTAGCCCCTGCGCCACAGTGCCTGCCCTCCAGGGAGCTTCTGATCAGACACAAACCACCTGTGTCTAGCAAACCTTTTTCCTCCTACCTCATGGCATTATCTTGCACCTGCCCGAAACATTAATTAATACGGTTGCTGATCAGCAGGCTTTAAAATGGGGAGATGATCCTGGGGACAGGGGAAGTGGTGGGGAGGGAGTTGACTGTAACCTGGAAAGTCCTTAAGCGTGGGAGAGAGGGAAGCAGACAGGCCCTGGCCGCCAGAGCGTCGTTGTACGGGAAAATGGTGGCAGAGAAATCCCGACTGCTATTACTACCTTGGTTCTTTGTCTCACACGGAAGAAGAATTTCCAAGTGGACAAGCAGGGAGATTTAAAAAGGTTTATTAGAGTCAAAGACCTCCAGCCAGAGCTGGCATGGAGGGGGAGGGGGTTTCCAAGAGAGGAAGGAACCCAAAGAACCTCCTAGCCCTGGGGTTTTAAGTACAATTTTGAAGGAAAAAAACTAGACAGTCAGATTGGCATTCAGTCACCAGGCAGGGACAAAACCCATCAAAAGAGCTGATTTACAATTCTCCGTCCTGTCTGGCTGCTCATGATAAAACAAAACCAGGGACCAGCGCTGTGGCGCAGCGGGTTAAAGCCCTGGCCTGAAATACTGGCATCCCATATGGGCGCCGGTTCAAGTCTCAGCTGCTCTACTTCCAATCCAGCTGTCTGCTGTGGCCTGGGAAAGCAGTAGAAGATGGCCCAAGTCCTTGGGCCCCTGCACCCATGTGGGAGACCCAGAAGAAGCTCCTGGCTCCTGGCTTCGGATCAGTGCAGCTCCAGCTGTTGCAGCCAATCGGGGAGTGAACCAGTGGATGGAAGACCTCTCTCTCTCTCTCTCTCTCTCTCTCTCTCTTCAGGGAGCAACATGGCACATCCACACCTTGATTTTAGCACAGAGAGATCTATTTTTAACTTTGAATCTTTGGGAGGTACAATAACAGGGTAACACATTTGCTTGTGTTGTTACCTCTTGGGACAGCCAGTTACCGAAGATGCCAGGGTCTCAGGGCAGAACCATGCAGTCTTTATTTCTGAAAGCCAGCAACGCCGGCGGCTACAGGGGGCATGCGCTCTCCAAATCATGCAGGCCCGACTGAGCTCAGGGCTAAGCTTATAAAGGCAAAAACCAGGTCTTGTTGGGAGCTAATCACAAAGCCAAGCGTTCGTTACAGAAGCCAGAGGAGCGAGGTCATGCTTATGGCGGGGGTGGGAGGACATTGACACATTTTCACATTTCTGTACATTTCTTAATGTACAGATAGCCTTCTTAGAAGGCTGGTTTTTGAGTAGGTGGTAGTTACGCAGCTGATGGGACAAACGAGTGCCTAGGCGTTATCCAGAGAAAATAGAGCGACTCACCTAACTCACTCCAGTGTGAAGCCACTAAGTTTGTGGCAATTGGTTACAATAGCATAGAAAATAGATACACTGGGGCTGGCGCTGTGGCAAAGCTGTAAAGCCATCGCATAGCTGTAAAGTGCCCATACAGGCGCTGTTCCACTTCCGATCCAGCTCCCTGCTAATGCACCTGGGAAAGCAATGGAAGATGACCCAAGTGCTCAGGCCCCTGCACGCATGTGGGAGGCCTGGAAGAAGCTTCTGGCTCCTGGCTTTGGCCTGGCCCAGCCCTGGACATTGTGACTATTTGGGGGAGTGAACCAGCTGATTTAAGATCTCTCTCTCTTTGTCTCTTGGTAAGTTCGCCTTTCAAAGAAAATCTTAAAAGAAAACGAGAGGTGCAACTGCCAAGAGCAGTGTGAGGTACAGCCTCCAGAAACTTCACAGATGTCAGCCACCGACAGAAGTGTCAGACGAGGGCGGGGCACGGACCAGGCATGCTGCAGGCGACCAGACAGGTGATCAGGCCGAGAGAGAGCACAGAGCTTGTGAGCGGGAGCAGAGGCTGCCCAGGGAGGGCTGCGGAGCCTGGAGGAGCTCCCAATGCCTGCGGAAGTGGAAGGAACAGGACAGGGGCCACTAGGGAAGGGACACTATGTCCTCTGGGACCGGGGGTGGGGACAGAGGCAGGTGTGCAGGCCAGGTGAGCTCCAGGTGGGCGTGGATGTGTAGGAGCCTGGAGCTGAGGCCCAGGGAAATGAGGCCCAGTTAGCAGAGGTTGAATGGGTGCCGAGGTTTCAGAGAGGCTGGGACCCCAGTGTATCCTGGCGTCCACCTGCAGGGCTTTTCCAGGTAGCACCTGTGGCCTCTGGTGGGGGCGCACTCAGGGGATTCAGGGCAGAGGGTATTGTGGGGGGCAGACCCAAGCCCGTGACCCCAGGGGTAGGAAGGGCGAGTGGGTAGGGGAAGGCTAAGCTCCGAGCTGCCCTGAACTTTCTGTGCAGACTACCCTCCTGCCGGGGCTAGGCCCGCAGAGAGAAGGAACCCATTTCAGGAAGTCAGCCGTGGGCTGGGTGAGTGGGGGTCTCCATGCAGGCTGGTGAGGCAGCCACAGGCCTGCGCTCAGCTCTGTCCCTGGTTTCAGGGTCTCAATGTGCCAGGCAGCCCTGCTCTTATCAAGAAGTTAAGGGAGCACTGCCTTCCCTTCCCATTGTCCTTTCGGGCGATGCCATTCAAACTCTGTCCTTAGCTATAGCCCACCACTACGAATCGGCACCTCAGGGCGGGCGCTGGGGCCGAGCAGCCAAGTTGCTCATTGAGATGCCCACGGCCCCCGTTGGAGGACCTGGGGTTGACGCCTCCCGGTGGCTCCTGACAGCGGCTTCTTGTGCATGCAGGTGCTGGGAGGCAGTGCTGAGGGTTCGACGACTGGGTTCCTGCCACCCACCTGGGTGACCTTGATCGAGTTGCCAGCTTTTGGCTTTGGCTTGGCCTGGCCCAGCCCAGTTTCCATCATTGTGGGTATCTGGGGGCATGAACCAGCAGATGGGAGCTCTGTCTGTCTCTCAAATAAACACACAAATAAATAAAAATCGGAATTAGCATGGTGTGCCCGTAGAGGGTGGCAGCATTGCTGGCAGTGGCTTTATCTGCTATGCCACAGTGGCGCCCCCTCCTGCTTGACTCTCATTGATTGCATTAAAAAGCGCTGGACACATCCTTTAGGGTGAAGCTGCAGGGCTCAGAGGTGCAGGGAGCTGGGCCTGGCCCCTGGGGAGCTCTCTGATGTTAACAGGGCCTTCTGGAAGGAGCGGCTGTGCTGAGAGAGCAGCGCTGTTGGCCCTGGGCGTGCAGAAGGCAGTGCCCAGGATGCATTTCTCATGAAAATAGCTCCTCCCCCTGCCTTCCATTCCCTCCTCTCCCCAACGAGAAACTGCCCCCCCCCCCCCGAGAGGCCCAGGGCTGGGGGACTTACAGGCACCCATGCCTGTGAGCAGGCGTGCTGTTGCCTCCCACGGGCCAGCCCCTGCACACACACGCCCCTGGCACGGCCAGGCCTCACTCTCGTGCCACATGTATGCCCAGCCTCAGCACCCAACATCCACCCACTGCACTTCTGGGGTCACCAACCCATGATCACAGGCACGAAGAGGAAATCCACGCTCTCCTGGGACGGTGCCGGCAGCAGGTGGCCATAGGGCCTGGCCGTGCTTCCTTCTTTTGCCTCCTGAATGCTGCAGAGCCCTGCCCTCTGAGGCTCACAAGGATAGACGCTGCTTCCTGCAACCCAGAACAGTCTGCAAGGGACACGAGACCCGGCCTCACTGGACAGCCACCGCCGCACGTGGCCCATGTTCCCAGCACCAGGCAAGAACCTGCCCCTGTGGGGACCCCCACCCAGATGCACGCTCCTTGCACTGCCAGCTAGGGACCCAGGGCCCACCGCTCGGCCTGGGGCGGGTCTTACAATGAAGGCAGCAAAGCCACAGGGCTCTGAGCACCCACCCGCCCCAGGTTCCAGGGCCTCTTCTGCGGCCACCAGGGGCGGGGCTCTTGGGACTCAATACACAGAGCACCCAGCGGCTTTCTGGGGCGCGTGTGTGTGTGCAGGGGGCTGGGGCGGGGGTGGTGGTTGACACACTGAAAGCAAGACACCCCAACCAGTGCTTAACGTCCACAAAACAGCTAATCGGCCAAACCTTCGTTTTTTGTCCATTTATTTAGAAAAAAATTAACATGGGCAAATGAGATACTTCAGTGTTACAACAGAGTATAGAAATGCCTAGCAATAGTCAAATAATTTGATCTTTAAATACAAAATAACCACATGAACACCTAATATACAGGTTTCATCTGAATACATATTTATTAGATAAATATTAGAGGTTGTCACATCATCTAACTACATACAGCTTTGCAAGACTAGAAATCACAATTAGTCTTCCGACCAGTCGAGAGTATGAAATGATTGCATTGTACACAATGTACAAAGACAATGAGGGTTCCTGTGGGGGTCACTTCATCTGCACTGGTGGGCGTGTGCATGTGTGAACGTGTCAATCACCTGTGATCATGGTATCAAAAATTATACAAAGTATGAATTTGGTTACAATTTTCTTCTGAAATCCCCGTTGCTTTTCGTTATTTCCATAGCACCCTAGAAGTACACAGGTGGCAGGACTAATACACCGAAGCTAAATAGTACATGTAGGTAAAATAAAAAACAAAGAACAAACCCTTTCCACACAGGGTCAGATTATATTACATGAGTGAGACAGATGCGAAGAACTCACAAACACTAACAAACGAGATCTAGTTTTTCCACGTAAGATGGAGTTCCAAGCCTTTTTTTGTTTCGTAAAATAAAAACAATACACATTCCGAGAGAAATGAATGCATCTGTTGACATGTCTATTTCTCATTTACATATGTACACACATCCCTTGAATCATGCTGCTGACACGTCCCTATCCAGGTGGGGCAGGCCCAGGGCCCCGGTGGGGGCGCAGGCCTGGAGCTTGCTGGGGGTGAGGGCTTCCACTAGGGAGCGAGGGCTACAAGTTTTCCAAAAATAAAATGGCTACAGGGAACATGACACACAGATAAAGCTTCAAACCAAGAAGATGGGGTGATCGCCTGCACTCGGCGCTTCCTGCCTTCTCGCTGGCTGAGTGGCGGCAGAGGCGTCCCCGTGGGCTGGATCGATGCTTGTCAAGGCGAGGTGGCCTGCCGAGGCCTTGTTTTTTGCTGAAGTGACTTATGGCTCCAAATGGCCGACTGGAAGGGTCTGGACGTCTCTTCCCAGGCTCAGACCTGCCTTGCTGATGGATGCGGCCCCCTTCCTGCCAGCTCCTACGGCGGCACCCCCTCCCACCGCTCTCCCATACCTCCCTTGCACCCTGGCCTGGCTCCAAGGTCACCCTGGGAGGAGTATACCCCCAGAGTGCGGGCTTCGGGCACCACGGGCCGGGGCCAGCTGGAAGCAAGGCTCTTGGATGAACTTGCTGGTGGAGGCCTGCTTGGGAGGTGACCCAGGGCCCAACCTCAGGTGCCAAGCCCAGAGATGGCTAGAGCAGGTGCCAGGAGCCCGGGCTTCAGGGAGCGTCTGGACTCTGACTCGAGCTGTAGAGAGGTCTGGGCGCAGCCGGGTAGGAACCAGCACAGACCCCAGGCAGGCCCTTCTGGGGCCGAGCACCCCACGGCAGGGAGCACAAACTCTGAAGGCAGGCATCCATGAGTCTGTATGGGGCAGATGGTCCGAGCCAGAGTGCGGCCAGCTGCCAGGCCACAACCCCTGGCTCCATCCTGTCCCCACCCGCTGACAGGAGCCGGCGCTGGACGGCGGCTGCTTGGTCTCCCAGTCCCCGGCGCGGCCACTCGCTCTGGGTGCCCCTCATCTGTACAAATAGCCCTGGTTGCTTTTTTGTTTTTGTTGTTTTTTTTTTTAAAAAAAAAAAGAAAAAGAAAAAAGAAAAAAAAAAGAGGACTCCATTTTTGTCATTGAGTCAGGGTATTTTAAAAACACCAGCAAAGGCTATAACCAGGTCATGAAAATGTTGAATATTATCAAAGACGATACTAAAATATTCACAAAGATATTTACAAAAGCGTTTCTTAAAATAATTGATTTGCATACTGAACGCTATTTGGAAAAACCTGGACAACGGGACAAAGGAAAAAAAAAAGGTCCGGGGAGGGGATGGTGGCGGCGGGGACAACAGCTCCTGCAGAGACCCTCGTGCCGTCTGCGGTGACGGAAGTCCACGGCCGGGGCCACCTTTCCGGTACAATCCACAGAGTGCTGGGGACCGCCCACCACACAGGGGGAGACGGGGCAATAGACAGTGGCCGGGGACACTGGCACTGGACGGGAGGCCAGGGGAAGACCCCAGGCAGCAGCAGGAAAGGGCGCAGAGAACTTATAGACACGACCCAAGTGACCGGACAACCCGGCATCACCAGAGGCCACGTGGCTCGGGGGGCACCGATGAGCCTGGAACCAACTGGATGCGGGGACACGCTCTCCAGGGAGTGCAAAGCCAGACAGAGCCGTGCGGCAAAGGGCAGATTGGAGGCTGCTCCCGCTGCGGCGAGCAGGAGTGCGGGCTGGGCTTTTGGTCAGGGTGGACACGGAGAGGAGGGGAGGGGAGACGAGGCTTGGCAGCCCAGGGTAGCGTCCGAAGCTGCCACAGAACACCACGGGATGCCCGCAGGGATGTCCCACACACACGGTGGTAGACGGGCTGCAGCCCTGGGCGCAGGGGCCGGACTGTCCGGAGGCCGGAGAGACATCCAAACCGGGTCCCTGGCTACCAAGCCTGCACATGTGCCTCCCTGCCTTGCCACTGCTCCCCACGCTTTTGGGCTGGACGGGGACAACCAGGACACAGAGGGAAGCACGTTGTCCCGCGGCACAATCTCAGGGGAGGCGGGTGGGGACTGGAAACAGAACACACGGAGAGAAATGATTTGCTTTCTGTCCAAGTCCAACACCATTGTCGCCACTTGCAAACGGGGAGTGGCTTGGAGCAAAGCTCCAAGATTGACTGCAGCTGGCGGTGGGCGCCCTGGGCCATACCGGAGGACGCATTGTCTGTTGGGTGCATGCACACGCACTCTCTGCCCTCCAAGGCCTGGCCCTGGTCTGAGTCCAAAGGTCACAGGGTCCCCCCATGCACTGTCCTGGCTGCGGGGAGGCCCCGGGCCCCTTTCCCACCAGTGCCCAAGCAAGAGGGGCAGACCCTCTCTCAAACACAGAATCATGTCTTTCTCCATTGTCTGAGAGTGCTGACAGGGTGGCTTGGCTTAGAGGTCAGGGGTCAACCCGATGACCCTTGGCCCCCGAGAGATGTTCTCTTTCCCAGAGGTTTGTGCTTTTCGGTGGTGGTGGTGGTGGTGGTGGTGGGCAGACCGATCTCACTGCCACAAGCTGTCACTGCTCCTCCTAGGTCTGGGCCCCTCCCTGGATTTTGGGGAGGCCTTCTCTCAGGCTCTGTAGTCACTCGAAGGAGGCTCTGGGCCAGGAAGCAGGGAGGCAGGGCTACAGTCTAGAAAATGGAAGAACCTTGGGAGCACTGGCAGGTGCACCTGAAGCTGCTGCCGCCGCCGCCGTAGTCAGGTGCACCGCTCACTGGGCCGGGTCCCCCTCAGGGGGTCGTCTTCGGGGCCTGCTCAGAGCGTGGGCCCAAGCCCAGGCGGACAGGCAGGATGCAGGCTGCAGATCCACACGGCCTCCCCGAGGTGCCCTGTTCGCCTCCTCCACACCGAGGCTGCAGCAGGGGAGGGCTCTTGGGGAGGAAAAGTGTGTGGGACAGACAGGGTAAGGAGGCTGAGTGGGGAGGGCGGGCCCCGACGGGGTGGGGGGCCCTCAGTTGTTCTCAAAGAGAGACAGGAGGTCGTCGTTACTATTGCTTGGCAGGTCAGGGGGGTCCAAGTAGGAGAGGAGCTCGTCGGGGTTTGTGAGTTCTGGAAGGAGCTAGAAAAGAAGACGCACAGACGTCCAGCTGATGGGCCGTCTAGGAGGTGGCCCACGTACTCCCAACCCCCCGGTGTCCCCAGGGTCCCAGCCCAGAGAGGAAGAGCTGACAGTGCTGCATCTGGGGCTGGGCTGGCCAGCGGCCACCACACACAGCCTGGCCACTGCGTCTTGCCAGGGTCTTACCCACGCTCCCTGCACGCTAGTGGGGATGGGTGCCTGGCCCAGCTGCACCGGCCTTTCTCAGGCCAGAGGAGCTGAGAGGGCCCCATGTCAGGGCAGGGGGGCTTTGTCTTGCTGGGTGTTCTCTGCCAGCTTGGGCCCACGCCAATGAGCCGCTGCGGGAGGAGCCACACGGCCAGGCCTCTCGCACGAGCACCAGGGGCGGGGCTGTGGTCCCTGCAGCTCCCGGCACCCCGGGGCCTCTCCCTAGAGCTGGCTCCTCTGTGGTGGCTCTGTGGCTGGCGGAGGCCGCAGACTGCCCCTCCCTCTGCCCCGTGGCCCTTGGCCTCTTGCTGTCTCACAGGGGAGCCTCCTGGTTGGATCTCAAAGCGCCCTCGGCCGGGTCTGCACACTGAGCCCTGCCCACCACAAAGCTTCCCAGATGCTGCGGGCTGGGGGTGACAGCGTGGGGGCTGCGAGGGGGACGCCAGTGGCTGAGGGAGGGCAACACGAGGGGTGTGGGCTGGGCACAGGCTGGGCTCCCAGGGGCAGGGCAGGCGAGGGAGGGACAAGAGCTGTGTCCAGCCACCAGGCCGCCATCATCCAGTGGCCCCTGCCAGATGGCTCAGGCCTCAAGGTGGGCGCCGGCTCCCACCTGCTGGCCCGGCTATGCCCCGAGGCTGACTTCACCACCCCCTCCCCCACGGGGGCACCTGGGAGTGAGCGATGGAGCAAGCGGAAGCAGAGCATGCACGACAGGTGGACGAGAGAACTGGAGACAGACACACACCAGTGAGACAGACAGAGGGGCCCTGTCACTCCAGCCCCTCCCCTGCCTAGGGCCAGATCGGGTGGCAGACACAGAAATGGCAAGCTCAACCTGGGGGAAGGTATGGGGCGGGAGGGTGCAGCAGGGGCACGGGCCGCCCACTGCCGCCTCCGGACCCCAGGCCCGAGGGAGCCTGTGGGGGCTTGCGTGTGAGGTGGGCCAGGACTAGGGGGCAGGGCAGTGGCCAAGGGCATTGGGGATCTCCGTGACACCTGCACGCTGCGGGGCTTCCTGGCTCAGGAGCCAGAGGGCACTGGCTGGGGCCCGCCCGCCGCCCACCCACCACACCCCCCCTTCTCTTGGGCGGGTCCCGGCGCCAGGCCTGGCGAGTGGTGACCCCAACTTACATCCAGTGAAGGTTCCGGCATGTCGGACGCTCCCTGCGCTCCGGCCTGACCCTCTAAGGCTGAGGAGGGGTTAAAGGTCAGGTCGCTGTGTGGATGGCTGCTGGGAGCGGCCTGTGGCGGCTGCCGGGGAGGCTGGGAGGAAGGAGGAGGAGGAGGAGCCCCACTGTGATGTAATGGAGGCCCTGACTGGCTGCTGGGGTGTGGAACGTGCAAACCTTGTTGTATGGAGGGGTGGGGCTGGTCAGAGCTGCCAGTGTGTGGCATCTGCGAGGAGGAGAGAGCGGGAGAGAGAGAGAGGTGAGGTGACGCGGCACAGCCACGGATGCCTGGAGAAACGAAACCCCACACATCCGGGGCAGCACACACCCCCAGCACAGCCCCTTCTGCACAGCTCCACGCACGCATACACACACACACACACACACATACACACACACACAGGAGCCTCCTCCCGGAGGCTGTGTGGAGCCTCCCAGGCCTGGGGGATGGGGAGGAGGGCCCCCCCTGAGACAAGCATGGACACTGGGAGCCGGCCCTGCCGCTCCGCCTCCCCGCCCCGGACACCGTCACAACGAACAACAGCGAGGGCAGGATGGAGAAGCAAAATGGGCATGTTCCCGGGGCGGCACAGGTGCAGGCCGCCGGGCCGGCTGGGTGGCGGGGAGCAGACACGGACAGACAGCATGGGCGGGCGTGCAGCTCGGGACGGGGCCAGCGCCCCAACAGGGCCCCTGCCGGAGGAGCGACGCTGGGCGCCTGAGGCCCTGAGAGCCTGCCGCCTGGCGTGGACTCTGCGCATGTGCAGAGGGGTGGAGCAGGGCCGGCTGGGGTGGCCAAGGACATCTGAGCACCTCCAGGCCTCCCAGGGGACTTACGGAGGGGCTCCCCGCGGAGCCTGGGGCTGGTGACTATCAGCTGGCAGTTACCACTATGGGGGAGAGGCTACAGCCTGGTACTCCACCAGGGAGGGGTCACACCAGGCCACTCCATGGAACCAGCAGTGGGGAGACTGGAGGATTCCTGGCCCCGGTCAGTTCCCCTCGGCCTTGCCCTGTTTTCTGGGCCACACAGAAAACACCTGCGCGTCCATTCCCCCCCAAGTATGGAAAAGGCAACTGTGCCCCCGCGGTGCTCCCCAGACCCCGGCTCCTCTTCTTGTGTCTCCCAAAGCTGTCCCCCAGGCCTTGTCTCAGGCTGCACGGCTCCACCCCAACACAGCCCTAGGCAGCACAGCGCCCTGGGATCCCATGTGTGGGATGACCTAAGGGGCTACCACAGCTGCCAGTGACCGGCCAGCTCGAGGCTCCCATCTGTGCGTGGGGACATCCGACCCAGCCCTGGGGGAGCAGCGAGGGGCTCCCCACCGCTGTGAACAGCCCAGCTCAGGGCAGGCTGTCGCCTTGATCCTGACACTGGCTGGAAATGTCTCAGAGCCCAGAAGGGTAGGTACGTTCTGAGTTCTGCTGAGACACCTGTCAATCTGCTGCCTGGCACGCAAGGCCTTGGGGACACCAGTGCTTGGTTAGGGTCTTCTGGCCACCCCTGGTGCACACACGCTCAGCGGGGGGCCAGGCTGCTTTTACCTGGGCAGGCGGGGTGCAGGTCTACCTGTGACCACGCCACCCCACCTGGCACAGCTGTACTCTGCAAGAGCTCAAAAGCAAAACAGGACAGGACATACGTAGGCAGCATCATGGGGCGACTCTTAATTCAACCCACGGGCTGACTGTGCATGGAACCCTGGCAGCGAGGCCAGCAGAGGCAGGAGCGAGCCTTGTGGGTGACAGGAAGTACACGGCGTTCCTGCTGCTGTGTGCAGTTTGGGGGGTCAGAGGTGTGGAGGTGGTCTGGGTGTCACTCAGGCACGGGATGTGGTGGTCCTGGGAGCTCTGATTAAGGATGAGGGTTGAGAGGAGCGCCCACAGGGTGGAGAAGAACTTGCAGACATTGGAACACAGCTCAGGCTGCTGTCCTGGGTTCTCGCGGGGAAGCAGTGTAGTGTCCCTCACCTAAAGGCAGATTCTCGCCGGCCCACAGGACAGCCCTGGGCCCAGTGGCAGAGCTATGCAGCGTCAGGTGTGTGCAGAATAATGCAGACGCCACGTCTTCCCGGGCTTCTTTGGCCCCTAAGCCTGTTGCCCATCACTACCAGCCCATCTCTGGCTGCTGTAGCCTGGGGCCCACTGCTAGGACCTCAGAGATTGGCCCTGCTGCCACGAAGGTAAGTGCCCGAGCCATCAGACAAGCAGCCCTTGGGCCTCTGTTCTCCCCAAACCCCAGCTGCTCTCCCTCCACCCAGGCACCGCCATCCATGAGCACACTGGGCATAAGCCTGCCCCGGAGCTTGGCTACACTGAGCGGGCTCCTCCAGTGCTCACAGGAGAACTGTGGAGGACAGCTGGGTCTCTTCCCACTGCTCTCGGGGCCGCGGGGCGGGAAGGCTTCGGGCTGGCACAGGGGGGCTCCCGCAGCTACAGGGGGTGCATGTTATCAAGGGCGCAGGGGCCCTGGAGGGACCGCCTGCGGGAAAAGGAGACTTGCTAGCAATTCAAGAATCAGACCTGGGGGGAGTAAGGGCCTGGGTTTGGGACAAAACCCTGGGTGGCTGGAAGAAGGTGCAGTCGGCGCGAGGGTATGCCAGTGTGTGCCTGTGGCCAGGAGCAGCCCGAGGCTTCCCTGATGGCCATGGTCCCTGAAGCCCTTGGGGAAAGAGCTGAGCTCACAGCTCAGCCTGTCGGGCCTCTCGCTTTCTCCTGAGTCCCAGACCCAAGTCTCATCCTCTCTTTGCCTGGGAGGGAGCCAGGGTGCCCACATCACACAGGTCCCAGGAGGAACCCTCTGCCTCTGTCAGCCCCAGAGCACGGCTGGGGCGTGGGGGCAGGGGGCCAGGGGTGGTGGGCAGGCCGAGGGGCGAGGAAGAGGTACTCACAGTTTCCTGCATGGGGTGACTGAGGGGTTTCTCGAGGGCGGCCATGTTGTTGGGCATGTCCGGGGGGTGGGAGAGCTGGGGGGGCCCGTGCATGAAGTCATTCATGGACGTCCCGCCGGGATTCCCATGGGGGAAGTCAAAGTTGCCATGGCCCTGGTAGTTGTTGCCTGGGGGAGGGAATGAGATGGGGAGAAAGGCTCAGCCAGAGGGAAGACGGTCACGTCCAGGGAGCCTGGGGTGTGTGAAATCGAGAGCCAGGTCTTCTGCCTCCTGCCGGTCTGGCATCAGTGCCCGCAGCCATAGGTGCCTGGGCTGTGCAAAGGAGCAGTGGGACAGCCTCGCCCTGTCCCGGGCACCCCAGGCCGTGCACCGCTCTATCACAGAGGAGGAGCGGCAGAGAGGGGAGAGAGCGGGCGGGCAAGGCTCCTGCAGGGAGCAGAGGACACGGAACTGGGCCGAACCCAAAGCTAGCTTTCATGGGATCTGCCCCTGTGAGGCCACCTTTGGTTAAGTGGGAAGAACCAAGCCCAAAGCCCCAGCCCAGACTCTCGAGGACAATAGCAGCAGCAGCTGTCTGGCCTCTGCACGCTCTGCTGCAAGGCGATGCCGAGGGCCAGCGGGTGGGTCAGCATGCTGGGGAGCTGGGGCCCTGGGCACGCTGTGGGACTTGGGCAAAGTGAGTGAAGGTCTCTGGGCCTCTCCTTGCCTGGGGACCTAAGACCCGGGGTCCTGCTGGGGCACCTGCCACACCTTGTGCTCGAGGGAGGAACCAAGTGGCACTAGGGGTGAAGCGTGGTCAGGGCGCCGGAGAGTTAAGAGCCTGGGATGGTGATCTTGGTGGCCAAAGGCTGTGGCTCTTGGTGCTTGCACTCTGTCCCTGAGAGGGTGGGAAAACTGCAAGGGACAGGGACAACACAGATGTCTCAGAAAAACACTGGGGGCCTGGGGAGGGGCCCAGAACTCTGGGGGGTGTGCTGTTAGCAGCCCCGAGGAGAATGGCTGGGGAGGAGACAGTGGCTGCGTGACCCAGCTAAGCTGGCCGTCTTCCCAGGACCCGGGATCCAGGGACTGTCTCTGGGGAGTGTGTCAGGCCTGCCTCTGCACTTGCTACCATCAGCGCAGAAGCCCTGTGCCCTGACTGGGCCCAGTCTGGCCTCACCCACCTTGGCTGCTGTAGTCGTTGGAGTTGGTGCCCCCGGGGGGAGGTGGGAGTGGGTAGGGGGATGGGCCGGGGCCCAGGGCTGCGATCATCTCCATGACGTTGGGCATCGTCATCTGGCTGGGACTCATGGTCTTGAAGCGTTTGGAGGGGATGCCATCGGGGTCGTCCTTGATGTGCAGGTCCGACTTGATGGGCACCGGCCGCCAGCTGCACGTGGGGTCGATGGTGACTTCTTCAAACTCGGAGCTGCAGGGGGGTGGGAGGGGAGTCACAGGGGGCAGAGCCTGGGCTCAGCGATGCTGGCCCAAGGTCTCCCTCCCACGGAGCAGCTGTGTGGCAGGGTCAGCCTCCTGCCCTGGCTGAGTTTAGTCTCTTCTGGAAAGTTCACTGGTGCCTAGGCCCAGAAGCTCCCAAGATTAAGTCCAGGGAGGCAAGGACTCTGGGTCAGGCTGTCCGAGTGCTAACCTCCCTCAATGCAGGCTGCGTTCTTGCTGCCCCCCTCCCCGCCCCCAGCTGGGGCCCACTTACTGTTGGATGGCATTCAGGATCCCCCACATGTACTGATCCACCTCCAGGCCCTCGAGGAGAGCGGTTTTACTGGAAAAGGAAAGGGGGCTTAGCCTCTGCTTTTGGACCCAAAGGCAGACACACAGCCCAGTCCTCCCCAGTGTCAGTCAGGGCCCGCCCCACCGCTGATAACTGTCGGAAGGACAGGTGATGGCTGGATCCAAAGGGGCCGCCCACAGCCCTGGGGACCTGTGCCCGTCTGCTAGGCGAGGCTCCTCTGTTTTGTTTTTAGGGCAGGTGGAGGGGCTGGACCCTCAAGGGCAGGGCAAGGGGGAAGCCAGCAGGGCCCGATCCCTCTGTGGTCCATGGGCGGCGTCACTCACTTGCACACAGGACACCTCCAGGTCCCTCTCTCACAATTCAGCTGCAGGTAGGACTCCAGGTCAAAGCACTGCAGAGGCCAGAGACACACAGACAGACAGACAGGTGAGACCAAGAGTGACGGAAACCGCCTGGCCTTGCCTTGGCGGCCCTCAGGGCGACTTCCCTGCCAGGGAGGGAGAGAGGGAGTGGGAGAGACCCAGGGCTAAGGCTGGGTGGGGTGAAAGCCACACCACTCTTTGCAGCCCCACGGGAGGCGGTCACATTGACTCCAGAATGCCTTGGCTGGCTGCAGCATCCGTGCATCTGTGGCGCCACCTGCCATGCCCCAGACACCCCGGAGCCAGTGTCCTCTGGGAAGCCCTGTGCTGCAGCCCACGCACTGCTCCGACCCTGTGACAGCCGCAGCCCAGGCGCAGAGGGCACAGGGGACAAAGCCATCGTGCCCAAGACATTCTCCCCCTGCCCCATCAGGAAGCCCTCGGGAACCAGCTGGCTACACAGGTGGAGCTCAAGAGGATGGCCCCTCTGCACGCTTCAGGCCCCGGTTCTTGCACTCTTCGGGGGGATCTTTCCTGAGCGGGCCCTGCCAGCGAACGCCTTCCAGCCCTTACATGGCCCAGCCCACCCGGATTGTGATAGCCACTTATTCCACAGCCAGATCCTGACCTGCACCTGCTCAGGCCGAGGGCCTGGATACAGCAGCTAGCCGGGCAGAGGCAGCCTGCTCTCAGCCTTGGCACCTGACATCGGTGGGGGCAGGGCTTGTCTGCAGGCCCCTGGGAACCCAGCGCTCCAAGGATACATGCCAGCTAAGGAGTGAATGAGGCTGGCTGCTGATGGCCAGCGGTCAGCCACAGGCCTCGGGGGGCCCACCTGCACGTGCTTGCAGTCGTGGCCCCGGGCAGGCAGCTGGATGCGGCGGAATGTGATGGGGCACTTCAGAGACACCTTGATGGCCGTCTGCTCCACGCCGTCTTCCCCGTTGAGGGTCGTGCTGCCTGATGAGGCAGCCACACTGCTGAAATTGCGCTTGACTGTGGACAGGAGGTATGGGCAGGTGAGGGGTGGTCTTGCCTAGGGTGTGGTCTGCACATCTCCTGCTCCCTCCCGTGGCTTGAACACGACTGGTTCCTTCCTCTGACTCCCCGCCCCTCCACCCCACAACCCCCTGGCAAGGTCCCTCGATGGACAAGAGCAAGCCCTGGCCTCAGCTCAGTAGGTGCCCTGGAGGGCAGCTCCCCCAGCGTCGTGTGTGGAGGTGCTGAGGGGCCCCAACCCAGGTATCAGGCCCGACCCTCACTAGGAGCTGGGAGCTCTGTGCAAAGCTCACAGAAGCCCGGCCAGGCACTGCTCTGATCTACTGGGTCAGCGAGGAGCCCTCTCGGGAGCTTCCGCTCGGAATTGTGCAAACCTCGCCAATGCAAAGGGAAGCCTAAGCCTGCCTGGAGTCAAGGAGACAAGGTGAGGGAGCAAAATCAAAGGGAGCAGAGTGGCAGGGCATGGCCCCGCCTGCAGCCCCCTCTGAAGAAATGGATTCTAAGCCAAGCCCCTCCCTCCAGAGTTTGAGCAGGTATTGCTGTGGCAAGAAGGCAGGTCTGGAACCCCCGGCCCGGTGAAGATTCCTTCTCTAAATCCTCCCGTCCTCAAGGCTTGGCTCAGGCCATCACCTCCTCCAGCAGGCCCACCTAGCCTGTCTGAAGCACGACCTTTTTTGTTTCAGTCTGCTGTGGCCATCATGTATGGGGCAGGTCACAGAAGTCCCGTCAAGCCCTGCGGTACCCAGACTCATCTGAGCAACACAACAGCAACAGGGGAGACTGCGCACCCGGGCTCAGCAACTCGGGGTGACATGCCGGAGCCAAAGGTCGGACCGGGGTGACCAGGGACCCCTGCTCAGCCCGAGCTCCAGCGGGACTGGGCCTGGCTCCCCCGTCCCCACCCGGCGGGACTGGGCCTGGCTCCTCCCGTCCCCACCCGGCGGGACTGTGCCTGGCTCCCCCGTCCCCACCCAACTCACTTTTCGTGATGCAGTGCTCCGCGGGCAGGAGGCGCTTCTTAAGGAGGCCTTGCAGCACAGAGCGGACGGAGGGCCGGTGCACCAGCTGCAGCACGAAGAGGTGGGACTGCGGGAGAGAGGGCCGCTCAGGCTCCGCCCCCAGCCTCTGTCCCCACCCCCAGGCTCCCACAATCACTCAGGGATGCCTCAGCAGGAGACAGAGCCCCAGAAGCCAGGGTGTGTCCTGCACCCCTGTGAGCCTGGGACCCAGGCCTGGGTCACCACTCTGTGTCTGCTCTGGGCCAGCCGCTGTTAGCCTCATACAGCATTCGCGGTTCTATGCCTCCTATATCTGGGTGCGCCTATCTTGCAATTTCAGGATCACAGCATCTCTTCCCGCTGCGTCTCCCAGAGAAGCCAGCAGAGCAAGGCAGACGGTGTGCTTCGCCTTACAAGCTCTGTGTGCCAGGCCACGGTCTCTTAGAGGGACACACACACACACACACATGCACATGCACGAGACTCAGGACATCAGGGCTGGGTGGAGAAGGGCGAGAGTTAGCTCTGCATTGAGTGCAGCTGGTCTGGGCAAAGGGGAGTTAGGATATGAATACTTCTTGCAAATGAGGCAAGAACAGAATATAGCTTTGAGAGGTACAGAGAGGGGGTGCAGAGCTGGGTATGAACAGGAAGAGGCCAAGCCTGAAGCCAGGGCACAGCGGCTCCAGCCTGCAGAGAGGCCCTGTACGTCCCTGAGAGTAGCTGTCTTCTTTGCTTTAAACCTTTAACTCATTTCCATCTACTTGATAGGCAGAGTGACAGAAACAGACAAGGATTTTTCCATCTGCCTGGCTCACTCTCTAAATGCCCATCACAGCCAGGTCTGGGCCAGGCCAAAGCCAGGAGTCCAGAACTCCATCTGGGTCTCCCATGTTGGGTGACAGGGGCCCAAGCAATTGAGCCATCACCTGCTGCCTCCCAGCATGCACTAGCAGGAAGCTGGATGGCAAGCAGAGGAGCAGGGACTCGAACCAGGCACTCTGATATGCCTGCCCCGCGTGGTTCTGGAAGGCTCCTTGGCTGGCTGTGGAGGTGGAGACCTACAGGAGGGGCTGAGCAGCTCTCCCTGCCCGCCCATGGCACTCACGCAGCAGCAGGCGGTGACGGTGATCTGGATGGTGTTGCGGCCCGGCTGGCACACGTGCTTCAGGTGCAGGGGCTTGTGCGAGGTCTTGTTGTCACCACGCTCGATGGTGAGGGGCGTGGCGTTGACGCTGACCTGCACCGAGGCCGGCCAGTTGGTGTTCATCTGCCGGTCCTCGTGGTGGTAGCACTTGAACTGCAGCTCCAGGTCGGACCTGGGGTGGGGATGGGGGTGGGGGTGAGGGTGAGGGCTCAGCTGGGCTCTGTGAGGGGACAGTGCACCTTGAGGGGTGCTACTACCCGGGTCCTATAGGGCCCTGTCCCCGGTCTCGGCTGCTCCGCCAGCCCGAGCTCTCCCCTTGCAGCCTGGAAATCGCCCTTTGTACATCTCCAATCACAGGCCAGCCCTGTACCACATTCCCTGGCCATTCCCGCCCACTGCATTCCACAGCTCTGTGTCTCCAGTGTCCCCTCCCCTGCAGAGGTTAACTGGCTGTCCCCCAGGACAGAGGCACAGGGACAAAGGTGGACATGCTGTTGACAGAACCAGCTGTGGGGCTGACTCCGCCGTCTCCAGACCCTCAGTGCAGCAGCCCTCCCAGGCCAGAGTCCTCTCTGCTTTGCAGACCCCAAGAGGCAGGCCCCGAGCGTGCATCAGCAAAGGGGCTCTGTATGTCCCACATATGTGGGCCAACCATGCAGACAGCAGGTGGCCTCTCGGGCAAGGGCACTCCCAGGTAAGGAGAGTGGGTGAGCGGGGGCCCCAGCCCAGCTCGTGCCCTCCAGCCCAAGCATCCTGAATGTCTGTCCATGCCAGCTCTCTCCCAGAGCACTGCTGTAGCCAGCTCAGCCCAGGGGAGGCAGTGGCAAGGCACGTGTGTATGCGTGTGTGTGCGCGAGTGGACGAGTGTGCACATGCCCAGTAGGAGTCCCTCTCTAGCCCTGAAGATGCTCACTGGGCAGCTGGTGGCAGTGGGGGCAGGGGCGGCACCCCCAGTCCCAGGCAGGGTGAGCCAGAGCCTTGCCTGAGGACAAAAGACCCAGGCGAGGGAAATCCATGGGATCTGTCACCCAGGAGACCCAGACCCCAGTCTCAGCCCGGCCCCTCGCTAGCTGTGAGGGTTCACATGCATCAGCTCACTTATCTGCTCTCAGTTCCCTGTCAAAGGGGAAGGCAGTGCCTACTCCCAGGATCAAAGCAGACCACGCTCAACATGGGGGCTCACGTTCAAGGTCATGATGACCAGTTCCTGGGTCCCAGCTACCCTTCCCCTCTCTTTTTTATTTTCACTTATCCGAAAGGCAGAGAGACATGGATTTCCCACGTGCCAGTTCACTCCCCAAGTGCTCACAAGAGCCAGGGCTGGGCCACGAGCCTGGGGCCATATCTCAGTCTCTCATGTGGGTGGCACGGACCCAGGTACTTGGGCTATCATCTGCTGCCTCCCAGGGGACACACTGGCAGGAAGCTGGGATCGGAAGCAGACGTGAAACTCAAACCCAGGACACTTCAATGTGGGATGCGGGTGTTCCAGCACTCAGGACCAGGCTGGGTGAGTTACTCCCCACCCGAGGACCACAACACCTGGGTGGTTCATCCACCCCCAGGGCCTCCACATTTCCCGTGACGTCCCGCCAGTGATGCCGAGCAGGCGAAAGTGACAGCAAGATGCTGCTGCCCCCAGGGGGCCCAGGGAAGTGACCCGGGCGCCTGGTGCAGCCTCGCTCACCTCCACATCAGCGTCTGGTGGACCGTGGGCCGCAGGTGGAACACGTGGTTGCTGACAGCCAGGTTGTGCTCCAGGCGGAAGGGCTCCAGCACCACGCCGTCCCGCACGGGGAAGGTGAGCCGCAGCTCGTCGTTGTGGTTGGCTGGGTGGGCAGGGGGCCGGGTGAGCCTGGGTGGGCTCCGACACCACCCACGGTGGGCAGGATGCAGGTGCTGGGCCGTGCCCCTGTCCAGCCAGGCCCCACTTCTTCCCCACTCAACCCCATGCTCTGCAAGCAAGTCCCCTCTTCTGCAGCTGGGACCTGCCCTCCCTCCCAGCCTCCGGGCAGGTGGTGTGAAAGGCTGTGGCGGGCCCACCCCCACCTCCACCGTCCCTCTGGGTGGGGCTGCTCTGCTCTCTTCTCCCCCTTTCCCTACTGCTCTGGTGGGACCCTTACCTGGGGGCGGCGGCAGGGCGCTCATATTTGGCTTGATGTCAGGCGGGAAGGGAGGTTTGACGTCTTGGCTGGGGGACAGGTACGGGGGGATGCTGCTCCCGGGGGTCATGGGGGGTGTGGGGTTCCCTGGGACAGGCGAGTGGGGATAATTTGCCACAGGAACCGGCCTGGGAGGCTGGAGGGAGAGAGAAAGCACATGCAGGTTATGACTCCAGGGACAAAGAAGGGGCTGTGGCTATGGGCCCACACCCCATTCCGCCCCAGGGGAGAGCCCGCTGTGTGTCTCTTCCTCCCCCAGGAGACATGGGGGCTTGGCGAGTGCCTCGCCCCTCCATCTGAGCCTCTCCTGTGTCAGGTGGACGCAATGCCCCCACCACTGGGCAGGCTGCGGCTCCAGGGGCAGGGGCTCATCTAGTCCACGTTGCGAGGAGTGCACAGCTGCCCACATCTCAACAGCCTGCAGCCCCACCCCACCCACCCCAGCAGGTGCCGGCTTCCCCAGGGGCCCCGCCCCCTCACGCCTGGCCTCGTTTGCTTCCCGGACTGGCCAGGCCCACACCTGGCCTCAGCTCACCCACTCAGGGCAACAGATTCAGTCCTGGGCATGTCTGTGCCCCAGAGCAAGTGACTAGGAAGTGCACCCCCACCCATGGACCCCCTCCAGATGTCCTGAGAGGCTGGGGCAGGAAGGGTGTGCACCCCGAAATGCCAACAACTGCCTGTGGGTTGGAACTTTTGGAACGGAAGTCAGCACGTACCCTGTTGACATTCCCTTGGCTGTAGCTGCTGTAACTGCTTCCCGAGAAGGTGTTATTTTGTCCATTAAACTGTTCTGGCTAGGAAAACAAGACAGACAAGAGTCTGAGAGGCGGGTAGCAAAGTGCCAGAAGCCTGCTCTCCCTGCTCGGAGCTCCTGCGGGGGGACAGGGACATGGCTGCCAGGGTGGGCAGCAGGCCGGCGCTGGCCTCTCTCTATCCGCAGCTTTTCACACAGCCAGAGAGTTTATGACGTAAGAGCGCTGAGGGTAGCGACACTGGAGCACAAAAGCCAACCTCCACAGCGGACGCCCCCGTAAACTGCTTCAGTTCTTGGGCTGAGAAATGTGACAATGTCTTTTTACTCCCGAGAACGTATTTTGTAAGAATCCTGAAGGAGGAGAAGCCCACATCCCTGAAGACGGTCATCCTAGTGCTATTTCAGAAGTGACCAGTGAGACACCTCCCAAGCGTCCAACAGGGAGACAGGCACACCCAGGGGACGCTGCAGCGTCTAAGTTTGGGCTCACACATTCAGGTTAGGTGACCAAAGATTCAACATCACAGCGGTAGTAACTGCAGCTGGCAGGGAGAGGAGTTCAGAAGGCGGTGTGGACACCGCCGGGCTGTGGGCCTGATCTCTCAAAGTGTGCTCTACTTCCTGTCACGTTTCCTGTGCACGCCATCCGTAAGCAAGAGGAAAGCATCGAGGCCCATGAGAACAGGAACGACAGCCAGTCCTCCTGGCCACAGAAACGCAGCTCCGAGCACACGGGGACACCCGGGAATGTCTGCCCGCCCCTCAGTGCCCACGGGGAGTGGGGGTGGGGGAACTCACCTTGTAATACTGCCCCATGTTGACCGTGGGGGGCGGGTACTGCCCGGTGCTGGGCTGGCTCGGCATCCTTTGCCCAGGGTAGTTGGGGGAGGTGAGCGGCCTCGGAGGGTTGGGGGTGGGGTACTGGCCTGGCTGGGTGGGGAACTGGCTGTTTGGTCCGTATTGCTGGTTTCCATAGTTGGGCTGTGGTGGCAGAGAAAGGTCAAGGGAAAGGTCGTCAGGTGACACGGAGCCGAGCTGTTAAGCTGAACGCCAGGGCACGCCCACCTCCCCATGGTTTCCACCTGCCAAAGGCATTCCCCCGCCCCGCCCCCGCACCCACCTGTCAAGGAGAGAGGCTGAACCCCATGACGTCCGTGGCCCCTCCTGGCCCTGAGCCCCAGGGACATTCCTTCTGCCCAACCGTCTCCAAGGACACGTGCAGAGACTCGCCCAGGCCACTGGGAGGGGCTCCACTCTCCAGTCCCCCTGTGCCTCTCTCTAGTGCACGCATCCAGGTCACGTCCCTCAGTGTGACCAAGGAATGCAGACACCTGGACAACTGACACTGCGCCTTCTGGGGCTGACTCTGGGTGGCTGTCCCATCCCCCACACCAAGCACACCATACCCTGGGTTCAATTCTGGACCACAGTTCCCCTGCCATCCAGGCAGAGGCTGGGAGAGCCAGGCTGGAGCACCGAGACCACCCCACTGGGGTGGGGGGGGGCGATGTACAGAGAGCAACAGTGCCACTCTCCTGGGCCTCTAGGCTTACAGGTCAAACTAGCAGCTGTGCCCCGGAGGCTGGCAGAGGGCAGGGCCTCCGTCAGTGCCTGCTCACCAAATGAATGAAGGGTCTGGGGGTACGTGCCAGACTGCAGAATGTTCTGGGATTCACGCGGCGGCCATACAGCTGCTCTCTGCGTGACACTGAGTCTCTCGTCACTTAAGGTATGGAAGTGGCTGATGCCTGCCTGCCCACCAGGTTGGAGAAGAGGCCAAGGCAGGACCAGGTGCCCTGATGCAAGCCACCCTGAGGTTCCAACAGTTCAAACACAGGATGAGTGTGCCATGGGGAGGTGGAGGCCCCCTGGGCTGGGACCACCTGGAGGCACAGCCCAGGGCCAGGGGAGCAGCAGCACGCTATGAAGAGGATGACTGGCAAAAACATCCAGGAGTCTTGTGGCAGGTGACAGCCAGGAGCCTGGTGCTGTGGCACGTGCAGGGCTGGCGCCAGTGACTGGGAATCTCATTGGGGCTGGTGGTCCTGAGGTTGGACTGGCAGATACGGTAGCTCATAAGCTCCCCTGAGGACAGCCAGGGGCAGGGGCACAGGGGCAGGGGCAGGGCTTGACCCAGCCTCCTGGACAATGAGGAAGACCCTGACGGCCCCCTCTTGAGCTCAGGATGCCCCTGCAGTTGCTAAGCCACCCAGCCCGGGGCCAGAGTGGATGTGAAAGGTAATGGCATGGACCTGACCATCTGGCCATCTGACTGTTGCAAAGCCAAGTTGAAGGCCACGCACGCCTCTGCGGCCAGAGAGGAAGAGGAAGCTCCTTCTGAGGACGGGTGTGCAAGCAGAGGGCTGGGGCCCCCAACTCAGCCAGGGGTTTCATGGAGCGAGCGAGCAAGCAAGGCCAGCTTCACGAGGGACGTCTGCTGGGTCGGGATTCTGCAGGACAACTAAACCCTTATCCAAGCACCCAGATAGGCCAGTGGTAGCTGCAAACTTCTTTTCTGAAGGTGGACACCTCCTCCAGGAAGCCTGCCTTCTCTGATTCTTGTTGAGTCCTAGACAACCTGCTATACGTCATCCCCTTGTGGGCCCCAGCTTAAGCCTTTACTGTCCTCACGGTTAGGATGCTGGTTAAGACACTTGTATCCCATCTTGCAATAATACGGTCTGGCTCCCGACCGACTCCAGTGCACACCCCAGGGGGCAGCAGGTGATGGCTCAAGTATTTGGGTTTCTGCTGCCCACCCGAGAGACCTGGACTGAATTCCCGGCTCTGGGCTTTGGCCCCGTCCCACAGCCTCCACAGGCATTTGGGGAGCGAATCAGTGGATGGCTGGGGGAGTCCTCCCCTGAGCCCGTCACCCAGCCAGCGCCCAAGCCAGCACAGGAAGTGAGAACAGCAGCTACTGCTTGCTCAACAGCCCCACCTGCTGGCCTGGGACAGAGAGCTTCATGAGCAACACCCTGGGTGGTGGGCAGGCTGCATGGAGGCTTGCCACTGGCATTCATAAAGCAAGACTGGAAGTGGAAGGGGGACCTGCTCAGGTTCTTCCAGGTGGGAAAGGCAGAGCCAGGCCTCCAACCCAGGTGCACTGACTCCCAACCCAAGACCCTTCCACTTGGTCCACTGGTTTTGGAGGTGGTGCCGGGCACTGCCCGTGGCCCCTGTGTCTGGCAGCCCAGGCCTCCCACTGCCCGCCTGCCTGCTGCCACACTCACCTCTCCCGGGTATGGCCTCTTAATGCTCTGAATGGGAAGGGACTGGGGCCGGGGGCCCGGGTAGGTCTGCTGGGGCATCCGCTGCCCGTGTGTACCAAAGGGGCTGATGCCGGGCGGCCGGGGCTGGTTCATGCCCATGGGAGGGCCGCTCATCCCCGAGGGCGTCATGCCAGCCGCCATGCTGGCAGGGTTCATGCTGCCCCCCATGGAGGCAGGCCCCCGTGGCCCGGGCTGGTTCATGAATTGGCTGTTATACGCCTGGGTGGGACCCATCTGGAAAGAGGAACAGACCTTCAACGGGAGAAGAAGAAGAAAAAAAAAAGAATAAAATGCCACATGCATTGAAAGTGCAGGGAGGGAGGGTGGGGGGCGGGGGCGGGGGCACTTTCCTGGGTGGTTGCTGCTGGGGACCAGACCCCAGGGGATGGCTGTCCTCTGGGGCTCACTGCTGCCCTCTGCAGGCCGCACAGGAAAGATGCCGCTCGGGGTTGGGGAGGTGTTAGGGGGTGGGGCGCAGTCACTCCAGTGCACAGGCAGCATTTCCGGGGGTGGGGGGCAGGCAGGGAACAGGGAAAAGGGTGCAGGGACCGGGAGGGTTACGGAGGGTGGAGGCGGATGAGGATGGAGGCGGGAGCCCCAATGAGGCAAAATCCCTGGTGTCTGGAAACCCTGGCCCCACTGCAGGTCCCCTGTGGCTGCAAACACTGCTCCCATCCACAGCGTCTGGCTGGCCCCCAGCTTCTACTTCTGCTCACTGTCCTCCGGGGGCTCCCGCTCTCCTCCCACCCCACCCCCATCCTTCAGAAACCCAGGGGAGCAGCTCTGGGGCCCTGGCAGAGCTCAGATGGGGCGACCAGGACAGCACTGGTGTCAGAGGCCACCCGGGGATGGAGGGGAACAGGGCCACCTTTAGACACTGAGCCTGTTCTCCCCTGAGCGGGAGGTCCAGAGAGCGATCTGGAACTTGGTTTTCCATATGCAGACACACACGAGCCACCCACCCCACACGGGCACTCAAATCCTCCCTGCCACACCCACACCCACACCCCAGCACACGCCCCCTCCACGCTCCAGAGATAACCCAAACATACCCTGAAGCCACCAGCTCCCCCACAATCACCAACACCCCAACTCTGACTTCCCCAGGGACTGTCCACCTGGCGGGCTGGACGGGGCTGGACCAGGATGGGCAGGGGCCCTTACCGGTCCGTACTGGTTCATGTCCTTGTTCTGCGTCTCTTGCAAGGCTGCCACAGTGGCTGTGGCTGTGGCCGTGGCCGTGGCTGCTGCCGCTGCCACCTGCAGCTGCTGCGGCGGCTGCCGCCGGCTGAGTGAAGTCAGCAGGCGGCCTGGTGTGCGGAGGGATGCCCATGCCTGCGGGGGCGCTAGGACCCCCAGGGTAACTGTGGGGAGAGGACGGAGTTAGAGCCTGGGTCTACAGATGAACCCAGGACAAGCCTCGCACTGGGAGGGAGATGGCGGGGCTCAGGTCAATGAGGCTGCAGGGCTTCCTGGGGTTGGCAGCCATGTGTGCCACCAGGTGGCACGCCAGCCGCTGGGATCTTGGAGCCCTCACTGGGTGCTGGGCAAAGAGGGCAGGGTGTCAAGGGCCGGTGGGTGCTTCTGCTTGTCTGCACCCAGCCCACCTCACGTCCCCGGAGCTCCTGTCTGCTGCGCCCCCCACCAGACAGAGGGACTCTCAGCTTTGGCCCAGCTCTGCCTCCAGAGCGGATCGTCCTCAACTGCTTAACAGTCCTCGGGCAACTGGTCACCCTGCCCCGCCCTGTCGCCACCCCCCGGCTGACCTTCAAGTCCCCAGAGGCAGCGAGCTGCATGTCTCCCAGTTTATAAAGATACAAGGCAGAGAAGGGTCATTCTGAGGAATGAGGCGGCGGCCCTCCTATCTGCACGGGCCATTGGCTATGAGAGCATGGCCGCTGCAAGTCAGCTGCTGGACCAGAGACAGAGCTCGCTGGCGTGCCTGGGGCCAGGATCACGGATCTGGGATTTCAACTGGGCCCTTCCCCCTGGATGCTCACCTGGCCCCGAAACCCCCGCTGCCGGGGTAGTTGGGCCGGCCGTACATGCCCTGCTGGATGTAGGGCTGCGCGGGGCCGGCCTTGGCTGAGAACTGCTGCTGCTGCCCAGCGAACTGAGGGGAGTTGAGGCCGGGGTTGCTGGTGGTCATGCCCGACGCCATGGGGTTGCCGCCTGGATTCATGGGGTTGTTGGCATTGGCCATGGGGTTCCCGAGGACCTGGGGGCAGACAGAGTGGTCGTGTGGAGGGGAAGAAGAAAGGCAGGGGGCGGGGGAGATAGGAGACACAGGAGAGAGGAGGGCTGGCCCGAACTGCTCTCTGGTGCGCCCGTCATCAGCAGGGCCAAGGCTGGGAAGCAGGTGGAGAGGTGAGAACTTTAGCCTCCGGGTCGGAGGGTGGAGAGTGAAGGTGTACTCAGGGTCTGCAAAGCCAGCTCAAGCGGCTCCCAAGGCCTGGGCAGTTGTGGGAAAGGGGAGCGAGGCGGGTCCTGCCCCTGGTGGCCGGTGGGGCAGAGAGAGGGCAGGCAGAGGCTGCTGCTCTGGGGGCTCAGGTAAGTGGCGCCCAGCTGGCCCCCAAGGATCTTGTGCACCTGCTGTCGAGGCAGGGGGAGAAGTGGAGGCCAGGGGACGAGAGGCCTGGGGCTCAGATCTGGGCTTGTCCCAAGTTTAAGGCACGAGGGGTCACTGAAATCCGCTCTGGGCCACCCCGGGATTGGAGCGCTGAGGCCAATCATGCACGAGAGCTTCTCCTGCTGTCCAACCACAGTCCACGTGGCCAGGAAGGGCCCTCCGACCGGCAGGTGGAAGCCACTCCTCCAGGAAGGCACCAGGAAGGGGACAGACCCCAGGCGCCCGGCTCCCGAGGCAGGTGCAGGTGCTCCCTGGGCTGAGGGGGCCCTGACCACTGGGTCCCGCCCTCCCCCGCCAGGAGCTGAATCCAGGAGATGGCGGAGGCTCCAGGCTGAGAGAGGCTCTTACCTGGCTCTGGGACGTGTTGGTCACTCCCCAAACGGTGGTGACCACGGAGAGGGAGCCGGGAGGCTGGTTGGTGCTTTGCTGCCAAGGGACAGAGTCATAGGGGAAGGAGCCATCACTGCAGAGAGAGAGAGAGAGCACACATTTTTTTTTTTTTTTTTTTTTGACAGGCAGAGTGGACAGTGAGAGAGAGAGACAGAGAGAAAGGTCTTCCTTTTGCAGTTGTTACACCCTCCAATGACCGCCGCGGCCAGCGCACCGCGCTGATCCGATGGCAGGAGCCAGGTGCTTCTCCTGGTCTCCCATGTGGGTGCAGGGCCCAAGCACTTGGGCCATCCTCCACTGCACTCCCTGGCCACAGCAGAGAGCTGGCCTGGAAGAGGAGCAACCGGGACAGAATCCGGCGCCCTGGCTGGGACTAGAACCCGGGGTGCCGGCGCTGCAAGGTGGAGGATTAGCCTAGTGAGCCGCGGCGCTGGCCGAGAGCAGACATTCTCAGGGCTGGCGGACACAGGCTCAGCTGCACGCGTTCTAGGGGACCCCCACCCCCAGCCCAGGCCTGTCAGGTGCCTGACACAGAACAGGTGCACCTCGCAGGACATAGCAGGCTGTACGCCAGTCGCCGAGTCTCCTTCAGCTGCCGCGGGGGCTGCCCCACGCTGGCCGATTCACCTCAGCCTGGCGTCCGCAGGCCACGCCATGGAGCCAGCGGCGGGGCCTGAGGCTCCATCTGAGTGCCAGGCTCTGACTCCACGTGGCCTTCGGGAATGAGCCTGGGTCCCCCTGCACTCCCCTTGCCCTCGGAACTGCCTGGCGCCTTCTAGGCAAGGGCCACGGGGGGGCGCGAGGCCCAGAGTCTCTTCCTGCCTCCTCCTGAGCCCAGGACAACGCAGTGGCTGTGGGCTCAGGCCTGCCTGTCCCGCTCGCTCCCTGCCCCGACTGTGGCGTCTCCCGCAACCCCCCCCCAAACACCTGAGACCCTCTGCACAAAGTCCTTCAGTGGCTACGGTGTTTACGGAGGAGCAAAGTCCACACCCTTAATGATTGACCCTGCGTGCTGCCCCCATCCCCCCATCCTGCTTCCCTCTGACCTCTCCCAGAGCCGTCCATCCACCACCCCCCGCCTGGGGAGACAGCCCCCTTCCCCTTCACAAGCAAGGGCTTCCCCTTGGCCTGCACGCTAACTGCCCTGGAGCCACAGGGCAGGGCCCTGCAGGGCCCAGGGGAGCGGCCCTTTAGTCTCAGAGAGAGAGGACGCTCACGTCCCAGGGCAGCCCCTCTCCGCTCACCGAGCTCAACTCCAGGGGCTGCGCGGCCGCTGCCCGCCACCCCACCCTGCACAGGGGTTCCCAAGGTGGGTTCCGATCTGAGGGATGCTTCTGGGCAAAGCAGCAGGCTGCCCACTGCGAGGGAAGGCACTCGGTTTGCGTCTGATAACACAAGTTCTCCAAGCACGAGAGACGGCTTTCACCTCCCGCTGGATTTGTGCAGAGCTGGCTGACCACCCTACCTGCCCCCAGCCAGAGCCCCTACCCCAGCACACACACACACACACACACACACATGTACACACATACACACACACACGCACGCGCGCACACACACCCTGTGGTGCTGAAGATGGCGACCCTCTGCTTTTCTGCTCTTCCCAGACTCGGTCTCCTCATCTGTAAAGTGGGCATAAGAAAGATCCCTCCCCTCCCCGACCCATTCCCAACTGCAAGTCACAAACGCTAAGTGGACCACGGCTCGGAACACGAAGCCACCAGGCTGGAGCCCAGCAGAGCCCCGCGGGGGCCAGGGACCAGGCAGCTGCTCCTTTGCCACCTCGGTGGGGAGGTCCCAGCTCACCAGGGACCCTTTGCGTGAGGCCCACAGACAACAAGCTCCCAGGTGCCCTGCAGCCCGTGGGTGGGCCTTGTGGGTGGAAACCGGCTCCTTCCTGTTTCGCCCCTGCCCCCCCCCAAACCCGGTGAGTAGCAATGTTAACCAGCGTTCCCAAACCCGGCATCCTCTGGCTGGCTTGACGGTCCCTGCACACCCAGTGTGCGCGCGAGCCTTAGGGGTGGGATGTGCACCCATACACTGCACACATGAGTGCAGGGGCGGGCTCAGGGCGGGCCTGCTTCCACACGTACCTACTTGCAGATACAGAAGTGGCAGTCGCACCGACAGCTGTGAGTCATCCTGGGGGAGATGGCTCATGCTGTCACTGAGCAGGCTCTCGCCCCCACAGGCCCACCACAGCCAGAGGCCCCACACACCCGCCCTGCCTCCCCAGGGGCCACCCAGGCCCTATGCCCAAGGACCACAGACAAACCAGGCTCCTGGGCTGCTTGCTACCAGGGAGGCAGGAACGTCTGGCCCGTGGGCTGTATAAGGCCCGCGAAATCATCCAGTCTGGCCCCGCCAAGGCAGCCGCAGGTGGGACTTGAACTTCACTACGTCTATGGCAGGCTGATTTTGAAGCTGATGATTTTGTATGGTCCATGAACAATGTTGTAAGTACCCAAATGGCCCCTGGCAGAACAAGAAAGGCTGCCTTACCTGCCCAGGGGGAATTGTACGGAGGCTAGGAGGGTCCCTGGGACCCCACTGCGCCCTGAAAAGCACTGTTTGGCCTGCAGGCATGCTCAGCCACTGCCCAGGTGCCTGGCTTCTCAGGGCTGCTCCTGGGAGACCACCCCTCTCCCCTGTCCAAGAGGAGCCCCTGCTCACAGGGAGGCCAGAGGTCCTGGGGTCGAAGAAGCCCATTCTGCAAACCTGCTCCCCTCTGCACACCCCTAATCTGCCAGGGCCTGGTCTCATGCCGCAGGCTGCCCCCACCACATCCTGCTGCACCCACCCAGGCACCCGGGCCAGAGCCCTTTGGGATTCAGCCTGAGGGGCCTGGGACACGGCCAGGCCTAGAAAGCCACTCATTCTTCCCAGGCTCCTCCAGAGGCTACCTCTTCCAGGAAGCCCTGGCGTATCAGCCTCCTCCCACTCCCACAGCCCTCCTGCCTTTTTCCTTCTGCCCCAGGAGCCCTCTTCACACACCTATGGGGCTCAGGGTTGCTAAACAACAGCGCCTCCCTGTGTTCCCTGTGGGAGGGACACCAAGAACAAATGAACTCGTGACGCTGAGTGCCCACCACCTACCAGCAGCGTGCCCATGACCATGGCATCGGCACCTGGGGCCAGGAAGTGAGAGTGACCGAGAGGGAAGTGACATGCCCAGCCCTCACTCCATAGACCTCAGTGCTCTCATCTGTCCAGCTGGGGATCGCTGCGGCCCCCACCCCTGAATTCGGGCTGTCGTGAGGTTCAAGTGTTAGTGTCCAGCAGGGGCCCGGCGCCAAGGGCAGTGCCCAGCAAGCATCCTTGGCCACAAAAGCTGCTGGTGGCTGTCACTGTTGTCACGACTGACTGAGTGGCCTCCAGAGGCCAGAAGTCGGTGAAGCAACTTTTAGCTAAGCACTCCTCCGATCCCCTGCTGGCTGGGCTCAGCGGCCACATCTCCAAGGGGCTGCGGCTCACAGGGGGACAGAGCTGGCCCACGGCCTGGGGGTCAAAGGTTAACAGTGAAGAAACTCCAGGGAGTGTCCAGGAACAAACTGCGTCTCCCCGCCCCGGCACCAAGTCGCCTGCTTCAGCCATGGCCTGGCTGTGTGCACAGACCCCGGCGGCTCTCGGGAGCGCTGGGACTGGAGATTTCTGAGGCTGATACGCAAATGACAGGGTGGGGGTTGGGAGAGAGCACCTCCATGGCCTTCTGGAGTTAAGACTCTCTGGGACCAAACCTTGGCTGGGCCACTGATGATTTCTGTGACCTGGGACCCATGCCTTTGAGTCAGCCTCAACTTGCTCATCTGTAACGTGGGCCTCACTCTCCTGGGCTACAGTGTAGGAACACGTTCTAACTCTCCAGCCCAGCCACGGTGCAGGTACCCGTGCTGACCTGATGATACAACGAAGATGTTTAGAACTTTTGTTTCTATGCTTCCAATGGGGGGGGGGGGGGCTGTTATCACTGCTGTGGCCTCTGAGGCTTTCCTAGGGCTTCTCTGCTCTAGCTGGTGAACTCCTACCTAGACCTCAAAGCCCAGTCCGCATACTCCCTTTTCTAACTCTCCTAAGCAGAACCAGGGGCCTCTCTGGCATTCCTGCAGCAGCTTTTCCCATAGATTTCACAGAGAGGATGATTTACAAGTCTGTGCACCTGCTCAGGGGTACCGGGTGGAGTTGGCCGTGAGAAAATGAGCAGGCATAGGATGGGGAAAGAGGATTCTGGGCTCTGGGACACTCGCGATACTCACGGAAGGAAGAGGGGGGAGGGCTGAGTTATTTCTTCCCTTGCACTTGTAACCACCACTTTATCTGGAAGAAATAACCAATTCCCATGAAGAGTACCGTCAGACCCTAATTAATTCTCCTGCTCCGGCTAGATCAGTTCCGTCGTCGGCAAGGCTGCAGCGTTCTTGCTAATGAAATGGCGCGCCAGCCGGGGGCTGAGGCTCCCGCTCTTTAATTTAGGGGAGCCATTAGCAGCGTCCTCCAGCATCACCGTTACTGGGGCTCACTTCCTTCCCTCCCCGCGGGGAGACCCGGAGAGGAGCTTGCGCAGCGCGCTGCATTTTACAGGGTGTTAAAATGTTCTACTAGGAAGGAGGGAAGGGAAAGATTCGTGCACCCTGGCAATCGGGGGCTGATGGAGCATGAATTTATGGTTCTTTCAATTCTCCCTTTCATTGCCTTTCCCAAAAAATTGTGTTCTGGGGGCCAGAAGAGCCTCTTGCAAGCTGAGCTTTGGTTTGGCGACACAGAGAGAGATAACATGACAGCTGTGAAGACGGTGGGCGGTGGCCGAGGAAAAGGAGACGGCTGAGGGTTGGTTTGGGTGGGTCCTTCCCGGTTGGCCGACCACGCGTGAGCAGTGGGAGTGGGATGCGCCAGGCTGAGGGGACCACGAGTGAGCGCACGCAGGGACACGACCAGTGCGCCCCACAGGGCCTGCCACTGCTGTTTCCTTTCCTTGGAGGAGAAACTGAGGCAAAGGGAGGTGAAGGAACAGCCTGAGGCCGGAAGGTGGCACAGCTGAGGCTCGATGCCTGGCAGCTGCTTCCCAGGGCTGCGCCCCCACCTGCTGCACCCAGGAGGCCGCAGTGCCTGCACCTGGGAGATGAAGGGCGACGCCCCCTTGATCTTGGAGTCTACCCCAGCTCAAGCCGGCTTTGATTGTAATCAAATTAACAGCATAAACCAGATTTATTAGGCTCTTAATTACCTTTGCAACACTGATTTGCATATGGACAATGTGCTAATCGCAAACGGCTTTTTTCACCGCCCATTAAAAACCTGGGAGAGGAAGGCACAAATACTTGTTGACATCAAGTTCAGGCCACTGCGGGGACTCGGAAGGTGTCCTGTGGCCCGGTCACTGGCCGGGACACCCCCAGGCCTCTCTTGGCCACCCCCTCCGCCCCCATCTCGTGGAACATTCTGGAAACCTAGGCACCTTCCTTGAGCACAGAGACACTTATGGCTGGAGGTGAGGACCAGGCCAGGGAGTGCCCCGGCAGCCTTCACAAACCATGGATGCCCAGCCCTCCTCACCACCCTCTGAGGCTGCCTCAGAGACAGTGAGGGTCTCGACCTGGAGGCACAGCCCTGGCAGGCAGGAAGAACTCAGACCCCAGCGTGCAGCCTCGGGCCATGGTACCACCCTCAGTGCCTGCGGTGCCCGAATTCCAGAATGACTATAGTCTTGGGGGATGGGGGTGGGGTTTCACGCTTCCGGGCTCTGCTGCAGCTCCCCCACCCCGTCCCCTGCTTGTGCTCAGAACCTGCAGGCGAGACTCCCTGTCTCCAAACAGCCAGACACCTCCAGGCACCAGAGCCTGAGCAGCCCAGGTCCCCTGCTCCCCACCAGGCAACAGAACTGCTGGGACGATGGACTGAGAGGCGGGAGTGCCCCCACCCACCCACTCTGCCCTCGCCTTTCCTCGTGGACTGGGAAACATCAGGGGCTGAAAAGGTGATGCCCCCCCCGCCCCCCCCATCCCAGCAGACCCAGGAGACGTCCCCTGGGGAATCGCAGGACAGCTGCAAGGAGCGACAGCTTCTAACCAGCTGGCCGCGGTGTGTCCTGGGAACAGTTCTGGCCAGGACATGGGACTAGGGAATCTGGTCTTGGTTCAGCCAATGACACTTCTTCCCAGTTTCAACTGCCCCGCTATAAAAGGACTAACAGCCTGAGCTGCAGGTGGAACAGTGGATGGCTCCGCTCCCAATCAGGCTAACCGCTGGACGCCACAGCTCACTGCTTGGGAGTGGCCGGCAGAGCACGGTGTGTTGTTTACTGTCCGGCTCTGCCCCTCGCTGGCTGTGTGTTCTTGGACAAGTCACTGTCCCACTCTGGGCCTGTTTCCCTTCTGCTTCCTGAAGGCCATAGCATAACTGCCAGACCGGTCTTGGAGTCCTCAGACCACCTGCACTGCATTCTCCATCCTTCCATAGGACCTCCAGGGAACTGAACTGGTGACGCAGTCCTGGGTGGCGGCCAGCGGCTCTGCGGCTTGCGGCACTTCTTGGAAAGCCCATTTGATTTCATGGAATGCACTTGCCCTCTCCTAGCCTAAGTTGTTCAAGGTCAAGATCTTCCATCCTCCAGGCAGCCTCCTAGCATCCGGCCTGCCTGCCTTCCTCTTTCAGAACCCAGGGCCCAGTCCCATGCGCCTTTCCCCAACCCTGCCTTGCTCTCTAAGTCCCTCATTTTGCCCCAGTGAGTCTAGCTGGGTTCAGACAAAGGTGGCCTCCAGCTGGGGTGCAAGGGAGAAGGAGGCGGGGCTGGCCTCTCTGGAGCACTGGCTTTTAACCTGGGTGACGCCCCTATTCCTGGAATGTACGTGGGTGCTCTCGGTGCTACGAGGCTTGGGCGAGGGGGACTGTCATTAGAAGGGGCAGCCGCGGAACGTTCAAGGACTCAGATTCTAAATGCTTTGCACCACAACCGCCCTGGCCACAAGCCAGCCCCACGAGGACACGCCGCCGCAGGAGGGAGGCAGCTGGGGCCGTCAGTGACCCTGGGTGGCGACGGGCTTGCCGTGGCACAAAGTGCCTCTGACCGAGGCAGGTAACCACATGTCAGGAGCGATCCTGCCCAGGCAGGGCACCAGACCTGATGAGTGTTAAGGTCTTTTCCAGCTCCAAGAGTCAACAAGCCTCTAATTTGATTTATAAAGTGTGTTTGACACCCGAGTTCCCGGCAGCCCCTTGTCGGCGCGACCCAGGGCCGCCTGCAGCATGCTCTGGGCTGCGGGTCGGTCCGCTGGTCGGGCTGGATAATGAGAACCGAGCTCTGACTGCAAATGCCCCTCCTGGTCATTAGTGCGGACGCGCCTGGGGAGTGCAGACAGCGTGACAGGCCGTGCTGCCGCAGGGTCAGCCCGCAGAGCGCTGGCACGCAGCACCCCTGGCTCAGCAAGGCATGCGGGAGATAATTAACCAGGGGCATCTCCAGTGCTGACCACGGGCTCCTTCTGAGGCTGGCGCATGATGGACCAGCCACTTCCTCCGTGACTGCCCTTGAGTCTCCCAGCAAACCCGTTCCTTTCTCCTGCCTGTGATCCCAGCTGCTGGTGGCCCTGGCCTGCCTCTGCCTCTGTTCCTAGCTGGGGTGTGGCCTGCTGGGGACTTCCTCCACCCCGGCTCTCCGTGGGCTCAGGATAGCCCTGAGTTCAGGATGTCTAGCTGCCCCCCAGAAGCAGAAAGAGTCCAAGGCACAAAGCAGCCAGTTTTGGGGGTCCTGGAGTGTTCTACCTGTCTGGATGGCGACCCACAAACAACAAGTACATCTCAAGACTGTGCAGAGGCCCCGCCCCCCAGGGGCTGCACAGCACCCCGGGCAGCCCTGGCTCCACCCCCAGCATCCTGTGCTCGCTCACCTGTGCGACAGAGTGGGTTTCATGGAGCTCATGGAGTTGAGGGGGGGCTGCATGGGGAGTTTCCCAGGGGGGTCGCTCTGGCGGCTCTTCTGATGTCGGAGCAGGAGCAGGCGGCCGAGCTCCTCACACCAGGAGGATAGCAGGGCTGCAAGGAAACACAGGACAGTCAGTGGGCACCTCGGCCCCTGCGCCCAGCCATGCCCGGCCCCACGGCACCCTCCCTGGACCAGGAGTTGTTGACACCAACTCCGCTTCCAGAATCCTGGGATGCCAGGAAAGTCACTAAGCCTGGAGAGGCCTCAGTGTTCCCAGCTGTAAAATGGGACTGACCCCAGAAGGAGCACTCAGAAACATCTGCCGCTAGCAGACCGGGGAGGGCCGGTGTGGGTGGCCATTGTCCTAAGTACTGGGCAGAGGCAGTGGACCGAGCAGAGAGTTCAGATGGTGGGCGGGAGGGAGGGCAGAGATGGCGCCCAGAGGTCCCAACACAGACTGTGTCAGGGCGAGGCCGGGGACCAGCTGCTACCCCAGGACGCCTCCGTGAAGCCTCCATCCTCAGACTCGACGTGGCTTCTCCACTGGGTGGTGTCAAAAACCACCCAGGCTCGGACACAACCCACAGGTGCTCTCCCCCGAAACTCCTGCCCAGAAAACATGCATGTTCAGCACACGCCTTCCGGTCATGTGTACCGTGGGTCCTAGCATGGCTGGGCACAAATGCTCACGAGGACAAAGGAATTCAGGGTGGAGGGGGCCCGGGCACCCAACGCACAGCACATGAGAGCCATCCATGGCCAGGCAGAGAGGGCCTCGCAGGGGCAGGGTGCTACCCTTAGGGCCCGCATGCCTCGATCAGCCCCCTCGCTGGCCATCCTCCCAAAGCTGCAAGGAGCAGAGGTTTAGGGGCTCAGTGAGAGACTGGGCCCAGTCACCATCCATTGTGTGACTCCGAGGAGCTCACACAGCCCCTCTGGGCCTCAGTCTCCTTAGAGGTCAGGAGGGGTCGTGGCACTCTCCCTGCCTTCCTCCCCAGACAGTGAGGAAAGCCATGGAGACCGTGCAGAAGCATAAAAGTGCCTGGGCTTGGCCGATGCCCCCCTCCTGCCCTGGGCGCACCTGCCACCTCGGCCAGGGCTCACATGCACCATACCTGCTCAGCCACACGGCGGGACGCAGAGCCCACCCCCTCCCTCCTACACCCCCTTGGACACGGCGCAACATGCACTTGCATTCTGTCTCCCTGTGGCTCTCCGCAGTCCCTGACATTAGCTGTTGTGGCCCCCATTCTGCAGATGAGCAGACGGAGGCTCGGGCAGACAGATTCCCGGTAACCACCAGCGAGGGGCAGGGCAGGGGTGGGTGCTTGTGCCCTGGGCCCACCTCCTGGTGGTGGAGCCTGAGGCTGGACCAGAGGGTGGGGGAGGACTTGAAACCCTGCAGAAGGCAAATCTTCAAGTGGCCACAGTCTCCCAGTCCTTGGCATTCAGTAAGGATCCCCTCGGGCCTCTCGGAGCCACTTTCTCCACCGTGCTCAGCAGGCACCAGGGGCAGACGCCCACACGCACAAAGACCAGCAGGGCCTGGGCCTGGCTGCTGCTTCAGGCTTCCCAGATCCTGGGTGGGGACCCTATGCCCCTTGAAGCCCCGGGAGGTGGAGCCACCGCTGCTGGGTACACCTGCTTGGCTGGGGCAGTGTGCAGAGATGCCCCATCATGGCTCCCCAAGGTGGCACCTGTTTCTACTTCTTTGAGGGGGGGGCGAGGCAGTAGTGGATGGGCTTGAGTCCACAAAGATGCAGCCTGGCCCTCTCCACAGGGTGCCCTTGCCACCACTCACACGGGGAGGAGGGTGTTGGAGAGGAGACACCCCCACCCCCCGCCTGGCAAATGCCCCTACGCGGGGCCCCCAGCACACACCTGCTGTGGCTGGCAGGGAGGCGGCCCCTTTGGTGAGGCTGCAGCCAGCAGGAACGAGTTTCCAGACTGCTCGTTCTTCTCCCGGGCCCCTAGTTACGGCTGCTCGTGCGGGGGCACTGGGCATCTGAAAACTCATTTGCACGCCAGGCACGAGGGCCGGCTCCGCTGCCAGCACAAAGGACGGCTGCAGATGGTGCCGCCTGCTGCCCGCCCCACCCCTCTCAGCCCTCACTCCTCCCGGGGGCCTGCCGCGCCAGAGGATCCGGGGCTTTCCTCCAATGTCACGGGCTGCCGCCCGCTCGGCCAAGGACAGCCCTGGCCTTGCTATCCCTAGTGGAGCAGTTTTCCATGAAGGGAACACGGGCAGGCTGGCTTTGTGGCAGGGCCTGGCTGTGTGGTCTGGCAGGCTGCAGGCAGATGTGTATGGCAGCCACGGCTCAGCACAGGTGCCTGCAAGACGACCTTCTAACCAAGAAGGATGGGAGCGGGCAGCAAGGGGGGCACCACCCCTCACCCCGAAGACGGGTCGCAGAGGCACGGCGGATGCAATGCACGCTCTGACTACAGCAAAAACCAACACGAGGTGTCCTGAGGCCAATGCTTAAGGACAACATCCGGGAATCTGCAGCCAAAGCGGGGGGAGTCTGGGCACTGTCAGAGCAGCAGGCAGGCTGACAAGGCCAGACCAGGAAGGCGGGGCCCACGCGATGACACAGAGTGACACAGCTGGGTCACGCAGTCCGAGCTGGGGACATGTCTCTGACCTGCCTCTGGCCTGTGCGTTTGCTGGGTGTGGCATGAACGGCCCCAGGACAGGAAGGCCTGGTGTGATGTGCCAGCGTGCACTGGCCAGGGCAGGACAGCTCCTGTTCCACCCTGAGCCCTCCCTGCAGGAGGAGTGGCCCTCTCTGCTGGCCAGGACAGCCAGCTGCGTGCCATGAGCCCTACTCATGGCCGGCCTGAGACCTTCTTTTCAAACAAAGCCCACTCTACAAAGCACGGCTGGACGGGCCCCAGGATGGCTCTATGGCTCTGACCACTTCCCCTGGCCGCAGGCTTGTGCACACGTCCCCTGCAGAGCTGTCAACACTCGCCATTCAGACCCCCAGCTGCCCTCCGAGGAACTGAGCGCTAGAAGGTGAGACACCCCAACACGTGCTGAGGGGTGTGCGTGCTCTGTGGCCCCCTCGCAAGCTGGGATGTTGGTGGAGGGAGGGCCTTCTGCCTGTCAGAGACCAGGAGGCAGGGGCAGGCAGGACCCTCTTCCTGGGCTTATGACACAGCTGTGGTAGTACCCCTCACCCACGCTGTTCCAGCGGGATCTGTGTTGGACACACCCAGCTGCAAATGCATGTGGCCGAGTGCCAAGGGTGGTTCCCAAAGAACGTCCCCCCCGCAACACACACAATAGGGGCCGGGCCCATGCAGCAAGCAGGTAGGGGCTGAGTTGGGTGGGGCACCCAGGAGCCGGGGCGTCCAGGCTGGTAGGGAGCCAGGCTCTGCACCCAGCCCCACCCCTCCCATCCTCCCCAGTGCATCCAGACACTGTGCCAAGGACCTCGGGTCCTCCCAGCTGACCTCACAATGCCCATAGCTGGGGCTAGGGCATTGGGCCATTGCTTCACACCGCAACTGCCCGCTCGGGGCCTCAACTCTGGTTTTCAGGCACTCCCCAAATCTCTCAGCATACATTGGGAAAACACGCACCACCCAGCAGACCTAGCCCAACTCATCATCTTATCACCAGGCTCCCACCACGTGGATCCATCCACATCTTAGGCACCGGGGTGTTTGGTCACTCACACAATAGCCATCTATAAGCACCTGTTGTGTGCAGAGCCCATGGCTGGGGTTCCCCCACCCCAAAACCTGGTGTTGCTCCCACAGCCTGGTGAGCTGGGGGCAACCTTCTTTCGCCCATCCTGATCTTATAGGACAGCTGCTCCCTGTGGTTCAGGCCAAAGGACCTTGGAGAACAGGGACCAAAGTCCAGTTGTAGCCCTTCCAGTGCCGCATGATCTTGGACAAGTGGCACCATCTCTCTGGGCCTCAGTTTCTCTACCCGCCACATGGGCAGACATCAACGGCTACTGGTTAGGATGGGGGTATTTAAATGACACGAGTGCCTATCAAGTGTCTGCCAGGTAGGTCGTGGCCTGGTGGGTGGTCTCAGGAGAGCAGGTGAGACACCCTCACCCCGGGCCTCTACCCAGCAGGCTCCAGGCCCACTCTTGACATCATGCAGTCCCTCGCTCAGCTTCTGCAGAGACGATCCATTGCTTCTTCACTCACAGGATTTGAACTTCTACAGGGTTCACTTCCAACGGCACCTCCTCCAGGAAGCCTTGCTAGTCTCGTCCCAAAGGTGTCAACACAGCTCCCCACGGGCACCAGGGCCCACAGCAGGCTGTAGGGCGGGGCTGATGGCAGAAGGGCCACGGGAAGTGGTGGCTGTATACACTAGCCCTGAAGTCCCAGGCTGCTTCACCACTTGGACTCAAGTTTCCCACCTGTAAAATGGGTTTCGTAGGAGCTTCTTGCTTCACAGAGTGGATGTGACATAAAAGTTAATGTTGTCACTCAACCAGAAAAATCCACATAGGAAGCACAAAGGTTGGGGGGAGGGGAATGGGCCAAGGACCCTGCAACCCAAAGCAGCACCAGGAACCCCATGTCCTGTGCTGTGTCACACAGCCCTGGGGCAGCTGGTGAGAGGCAGATTCAGGAACCAGCCCACCAGGCCTGATCCCAGCTCTGCCTACTTCCATGTGACACCCTGAGCAATCCAATGAACCATCCAGCACCTGCAGCGCCCTCTCCCGGGAGAGTGGTGAGGATGAGCCAGTTGTCACCATGGGCACAGGCACAGGGCCAGGCTCACACATCACGGCTGGACACAAGCACAACCCCGTGGGTGAAGCAATGAACTGAACAACGGCTATGGCTGTCACTTCTGACCACAGGGCAGCAGGCAGAGGCGGCTTGCACAAAGCTCCAGAAGTTTCCAGGGGATGGGGGAGGGGTACCTGCTTGCACTAAGCCCAGGCCCTCAGGCACCCAACTGGGCCCTTCCTGCTTTCACTGGAGAGACACCCAAAGGCCCAGGGAGCGTCCCACCCTGAGACACAAGGAGCAAACGTCCATTCCCCATCGCCAGCCAGCTGCACCTTTCCTGCTGCCAGTGGGAAGGCAGCTGGGGCCCCGGAAGGAAGCTGTTTCTCCTCCCCAG